TCTGGGTGTTCTCTGGGGGCCTCTGGGCAGGAGCAGCTTGGGCCCCAACCCCAGCCCTCTGACTGTTCAGTCCCTGCCCCAGAAGCAGCCCCCTCAGCTGGAGTCAGTTTTTAAAATTATTTTATTTAACTTTATTTATTTATTTATTTATTTTAATTCGACCAGAGAGGGAGAGAAAGAGAGAGACAGAGGAAAAGTGAGAAAGCAAGCCGCCAGGTCCAGGACTCAAACCATTGTCGGCTATATGGGAGTTCAGCGCCCTTAACCATCATGCCACCTTCCTGCCTCTCACATCCAACTCTTCTATTAAGTGTCTTGCCAAATACCCAGCCCAAGGATTCATTCAACATGTTTTTAAATTTTCTGTATCATTATTATTTATTATTATTTTAAAATTTCTTATAGAGCATGTAAGTTCACCAGAGAGACAGAGAGAGAGAGAAGGTAAGCCACCAGGTCTGAGACTTGAACTGCGGTTGGCCATGTGGGAGTCCTGCACCTTAACCACCACATCACTTGCTGGTCCCTTCCTCTTTTATTATTATTATTATTATTATTATTATTATTATTATTACTTTAGAGAGAGATTTTTGCTATAGGACGTATGTGCAGGCTGGGGAGACAAAGAGATAGAAAGCGAGAAATCACCCCCCCCCCCAGCGGGGATGGCCACTCCACAATCCCTTCTCCTCCGTTCTCCTCTCGGGATCTTGGCATGCACGCACACATGCCAGGTGTGAGTTTCAAGCTGCCAAGTCCGGGATTTGAACTACAGTTGACAACGTGGGAATCCAGAAGCGTTACCACTCTGCCATCTGCTGGTCCCAACTTTTGTTTCTGAGAGTCTATTCAGTGTGCCAGGGACTCGGCTGGGTGACAGGATGTAGAAGAAAAGGAAGGGGCCAAAACCCCTGTCATGCGCAGCTGACATGCTGCGGGGAGGCCGGTGAAAAGTGACAACTGCATAGTTTTAGGCCGAGTCACGTGACGTTGCTGGAATTTAACAACCGCATCTGCTTCGACCACGTAAATGCTCTGAAGAAAATCGGATGGCGCAGGGATGTGAAGGAGAACCAGAGGTGCTCTTTTAGACGGGGTGGTCAAACCGCGGAGAGGACGTCTGCGCGACTCCTGAATGAGGGAGGGAGGGGGGCCTGTGGACATCTGGGGGAAGAGCAGACGTCTGCCTCCCGGACAGTGGACAAAGTCACCACAGAGCCAGGTGAGGGGGGTTTCTCCTGTGTCCCCACACGTCCCCACAAGCCAGGATGTGACCCCACCTCCAATGAGGCCTCCAGCCAGCCTCTCAGGGGCCCAGTTCAGAGCACCAGGGACACCTGACCAGTCTCTGGAAACTCCAGGAGCCACCCCCCGCCCCCCTCAGTATCTCTCCTCTTCTGGGGGGGTTGCTAGACTTGGGGCGCAAGCAGAACTTGCAGCCCAGGCACGGTAGCTCAGACACCGCTTCTGCAGGCGCCCTCCAGGTTCGGGAGCTTTGCTCCGGATTCCGCCTCTCTGGCCCCCATCTGCTCGGTCGCTTCCTCACCCGGCCTTCAGCTTTAGCACCCCCTGGTGGAGAACTCGGGCAGGACCGGCTCTGCTCAGGGCCGCCCTGCCAGCCTTCCTGAGGCCCTGAGGACAGCCTTCCCCTCTTCACACCGCGCACCTTCCAGTTGCACCCTTCCCTTTCCACTCACCCTGAAGACTCACCTCCCTGCAGCCAGCTCCCTCAACGCAATCCTGCGAGTGTATGGCTGAGCACGGCCTGGTGAGATCCTCCAGCCACGCTCGAGGCTCCTGGCCTCCTCCTGGCGTCCTTGGTGGCCGTCATCTGAGCTGCAGCAGCTCTGCATCATTGACTCTGCATCTTTCGCTGTGAAATGCGCATCTCCACCGAAGGCGAGTGCAGAGGTTGCCGCGGAGCCCGTGCGCCCGCCCAGCCCAGTCTTTGGTAGCTGCTCAATACATACTCGGGAATGAATGAGCCAAATATTGTCTTCTCTGGGACAAGTGGTAATGAGGGGTAAGTAGTCTGAAAACCCGAAACAGCGGAATTGAGCACGCGGAAGTCTGGGGAATATGCTTGCAATCAGGTCCGCGGGGGTGTCTGGCATGATCTGCCCTGGGCTTTCTTCCTCACGCGGTTCTGTGCCTGCTCCTGGCAGCAAGGCCTGTGCGCTGTGCTGTGTGACCGCCCTCGCCCCAGCCCAGCATGAGGCTGGACCTGTGAGTGGGACAAGATGCACCAGGGCCCACTCTTGAATCTGGGACCTCTTCTCTCACCGGGAGTTTGCACCCAACTTCCTCCCAGAGCAGATTCCCCTGCCTGCGGCCCTCCACGCTCACTGGCTCTCTGCAGAAGCCAGATCCTCTCCTTTCCTTACATCCATCCTTCCCTCCCTCCTTTCTTTTCTTTTCTCTTCTGCTTTTAATTTGTCCTAGGGTACATGCACTTTGGGAGTGGCAGGGGGAGAAGAAAAATGGTAAATAAGAAAGCACCCCACCGGAGGATGACCATGCTGCAATCCCTTCTCCATTTCCCTCCTTTTTTCGTTCTGGGCATGCATGCACACGCGCCCAGGGTGTTTTTTAGGCTGCCGGGTCTGGGACATAAACCGCACAGTTGGCCATGTGGGAGCCAGCTGCCTTAACCTCTAAGCTACAGGCTGGATCCCACCCCTTCTTCTTTCTTGTTTTTTTTTTTGTTTGTTTGCTTGTTTTGTTTGTTTTGTTGTTGTTTTTCATAGGGTGCATGCACTCACCAGAGAGAGACAGAGAGAGGGAAAGTGAGAAATCACCCCCAGGGGGATGGCCATGCCACAATCCCTTCTCCTCCATTCTCCTCTTGGGACTCTGGACACACACACAGGCGTGCTGTCTCTTCTTTCTAAGTTCAACTCTAAACTCCTCTCTTCAGGAAGGTGTTTCAGAGCGAACTCCAGACCTGCTTGGCCCAATATCCCTGAGCATTTCCTACAGGCCCCATGACCCCAGCTGCCCCCTACACACACACACCAGGCCTCAGGAAGCCCGTGTTCTTTGGCGTGCCTGTGTCCCTGTGAGTCAGAGGAGAGACAGCCAGGGCTGGGTACAAGCAGGGCCACAGGAACCTGCAGAGCACTCCCTCCTTCCCTTCAGGCCTGCCCCACCCCTTTAATGTAAACCTGCATCACGTGGGTCATCCCCAGGAACCCTCGGGACCCTCACTGGGGTCAAAGAAATCCAAAGAAGAGAACGGGGTGACTGCTATGGCAGAGGCTTGGGCTCTGATCCCAGCTGTGCCTCTAATGTGTCACGTGGCCTGAAGTCGGACAGCTCCTCTGGGTACATCCGTTTTCTACGAGATGTATTAACAAACGCTGACAGCACTAAGCATATGCCAGAATCGGTCCTGGCCCGGGTGTGGTAGTGCGCACTGTGAAGGCTGCATCCCAGGGGCAGAGACCACACGGGAGGACCAGGCTCATCCCCAGACCACCCTAGAGGCTGGTTGCAGAGCTGTGCGTCTTTAGTCCCTGCTACCACGGAGGCTGAGGCAGGAAGAGACCAGCTCACAGCCAGTGTGGCTAACACAGCGAGACTGTCTGAACAAGCCAGTGTGGTGGCACACACCTGTCGCCCCAGTTACTCAGGAGGTAATAAGACTCCAGCTTAAAGAGAGAGAGAGAGAGAAATTGGGGCCAGCAGGTTACGTAATGGTTAAGGCACTGGACTCCCACATGGCCATTTGCAGTTCGAGTCCCAGACCAGGTGACTTGAAACATGCTGGGTGCATGCTTGGTGAATGTCCAAAATCCTGAGAAGAGAATGGAGAAGGCAATTGTGGCATGGCCATCCCTGCTGGGGTGATTTCTTGTTTTTCTCTCTCTCCATCTCTGTCTCTCCAGTGAGTCTATGTGCCCTATAGCGAAAAAACAAAAAACAAAACAAACAAAACCTAAAGACCTTTATGTACACATAACTTATTTAAACATTTAATCCTAAAACCCCCTATCAGATAGGTTACTGGTATTGCCCATTTTTACATAGAACAAAATGAGGCACAAAAAAACTGAAGTGGCTTGCACAAGGCCACACAGCTAGTGAGCTGGGATTGAAACCGAGGCAGTCTAGCATAGGCAGTGCTAGTAACCATTGTGCCCAGCTGCGCTGGATAATCCCTGTGAAGGGCCGGTCTTTGCCTTTCCGGAACCAGAATTCACTTCCTGATGGGACCTCCATCACTTGGCTACATACTGGCCTTCCTGAAGGCTCCATTTGTTTTTCGTAAACAAGATCTCCCTTCTCACTCCTCTCCAACTCCCCCTCACTTCCTGAAGGAAGCAGCCAATGGCATCCTAGAATTCTGGTTTGGGGAATAAGCAGCACTGATACATGCCAATGACTGTGGTGTAAATATGCCACCATGGCCAATCTCAAGCTACCAGCCTGATGTCAGTGACCACGCAGTTGAGAAGAGGCACGCAAAATCAGATGGCAAGAGCCACGCTGAGAGGTGGGGCAAGCTCCAGCACACCACTGTCAGCCCAGGCAACGGTGTGGCAACCGGCTGAGTAAGGGACACGAGTGGGCATAAACCATGAGCCGCACCCCACACACCCCGAACCCAATGACTGCATTTCCTTTATGAACAGCTTCTCCCTGTCTCACAGGCTCTGCCTGGTGTTTGCTCCCTCGCACTTACCTGAGGCTATTCTTCCTAATCTAGGGGACGTCTGGAGCTGGCTTTGGTCACCCGGGAAGGGGTGCCCCAGTTGGGCAGCTTGCGAGCTATATGGCTCAGGTGTGACAGGCAGGCCCTGCTGAGCAGCCTTCCCCCATGGCACTGCTCACCCCAAGTGGCTCTCTATGGACTCCATCCAGGTCCTGCCCTTCATGGTAATTGGATCCTCCAAGGTGTCTACACACAGATGACCTCCATTCTAATCATCCCACAAACGTCCCTTACTCACCCCTGTCACCACGCCTTCGCCTGAGCTGTTCGTCGCCTGTCCAGGATGCCATTCCTTTGCTTTGCTGAAGACAGGATGACCCTCATTCCCCAGGACCAGTTCAGTCGCTCCTCCTTGGGCCCGCTTCACCTGGATGCTCTTATCCACACGCTTCCCCCCTCCTCTGACTCCCACAGGGTTTAACGCACGGCAGGCCACGGATTTAAAAATGGTGATTAACTGTCTTTTTAAAAAATTATTTATTTATTATTATTCCTATTATTTTTCATTTGTGATAGGGCACATGCACTCACCAGAGAGAGACAGAGAGGGGGAGAGAGCAAAAGCAAGAGAGCGAGCCGCCATGCCACCTGCTGGCCCCTGTTGGTTCACTTTCAAACATAACTACGTTGCACATTTCTAAATTGCAAGGGCATGGGTATTATTTTCCCCTGTCTTCTGTACCTTCTTAGCTGCCAATGTGTAGTAAAGCCTCAATCCATGTGACTAAATTTTGCTAAGTGTCAATCAAGACGTTGAGAATACATGGACACAACCTCTGTCCTCAAGAAGCTCATACCCTGGGACCAACAGTTAGTGTAGGGTCTATGTCTCTGGACTCTCACGTAGTTGACCACGGATCGAGTACTAGACGCAGTAGCTTAAACTCACGCCCAGCGCGTGTGCGTGCGTGCCCAAGATCCCGAGAGGAGAATGGAGGAGAAGGGATTGCGGCGTGACCATCCCCCCTGGGGGGTGATTTCTC